CGGTGACCCCCTAAACTCAAAGCATAGTTTTAGCAAACATCGTCCATGATGTTCGGTTTGCCGTTGATGACGCTCTCGTTCCTGTCGCTGACGTCTTCGATGCAGCCACGCGCCCGGTTTTCTACGGCAGCCTCGTTCGCTATTCTAGGTAGTTTCAGTTGCAATTTCGCTTCTTAGAATCCTGGACTTTCCTTTCCCCACTTCCAGCAATGTCTCGATACCTACTTGTTTCAAAATCCTCTTGGGAACTTATGGTTATTGGTTATACACTCGTTACAGCTGTAACATGGATGTATCTTTACATTCGTTTAGTGAGTTGCATATCTGTTTTCAGCTTAGGCGACGAAAACAAAAAGTAAACATTTTTGGGACCTTTCTGACATAAAAACTGCCAGGGCACGGCTACATAACTTAGTGGGCGGGCCACGCGGTGACGCAAGGTATGTGACAAAAGAATCGTTATTCGCCGCGCTGGTGGGCGTCGCGTGCGTCGTCGCGCCCATAACGGCGCCCCACCAAATAACCATGGTTTCAGGTAGTAGATGGCGACAACAGGCAACTCAGAACCGAAAAAAGTCATGAATGTCTATGATGACGGGGTCTACATGAAATCCGGTGCTCCAGTCGACAGGTTAACACACTTAAGGAAAAGTCACGCCCATCGCCGCGCGCGGTGAAGCGGCGAATTACGATCCTCTTGCTCGTCTCCCGGTGACGCGAGTGATCCTTTGTCTGCTCTCTCGTGACAGTGATCCCTTCCCCTCCCTAAGCTCGGTTGCAGAACGCTACCTCATAGTCGCGCCATCCCGCACATAGATATACTTGTAGTTCACTGCGGACGGTTGGGCGTGTCAGTGCGGCTGCGTTTGGCGCGGTGCCAAACTCGTTCTCCACCAGTTGCTGAAGCGGGCAAGTGACAATACTGTATCATATCCTTCGTATTACTCGTTTTCTACCACTTTTTGTCGCATGCGCATTTCAACAAGACGGCAGAGAAAGGCTCTGGAGGTGTGAACACTCACACTGGCTGACACGCCCAACCGTCCGCAGTGAACTAGAGTGTCGAGTATTCGAGAGTATCGAGCGGGGTCGTTCCGCGTGTTTTTGATGAGAGTATAGAGGTAAAATAGGACTAGGTGAAATGTGCTGAGACGGCGTCCACCCTCCTGCTAACCTCTATACGCTCAGGATTCAAGCTCTGGCCGCCAATCGGTATAACTGAATCTGCTGCTGCGTTCCCTCCTGTAGGAAGCGGTCATGCAGTGCATAGCGCGTCAAAACGATGCGCGTTAAAGCGCGATGACGCGCGCCACCGCGAAGTCTGAACACTGTCTACGCACTGTGGCAGAAATAATAATCTGATCATTTGTAGCGCTTTGCCTGATCACCGTTGTCATTTCAGTCATTTAATCGAAGAATGGTCAATAGCACTATCAATGTTTGGAACGATGTTCTATTGTACCTGGTCATATATATGCTTTGCCGATTTATCTGCCTCGATTCCATTTCTCGTATTTCTGCATGCATGTTCATTTGGTTCCGCATGCGTTCTAGTGGTCGCATCTGGTTCTGTTTGTATGAACCCCACGGAAACAGACAACGACGCTTATCAGGTGGTAAATCAGAAATGGCAAGATGGCGCTATACTACTATGTGTCCGCAAACCTCTGTAGCTAGCTTATCGTTGGACAATAACAATCGTTATGCTCGTTTACACTTTGCGGCAGCGTCCACCAGCGACCATCAACGTTCCGAGCGCCCGTCAGCGACTAGGAAAGTATAGATATCGATCTAGCGAACGGCAGCGTCTACCAGCGTCTACCAGCGTCCGCCAGCGACCATCAGCGTCTCGAGGGACTAGGAAAGTATGGAATCGATCTAGCGTCTACCAGCGTCCAGGAATACGGCTTTATATAATGGTACGGTGCGGTTGCACACGCTACAATTTCACCACGCCTAATCCAGTTGTCTCCTCCCTCCTTCTTCCCCATCTCTACCACCAGTCTGCTACTCTCCTACGTCCCCATACTCTCTACTCCTGGTCGGTGGTGGACGCTGGTGGACCCCGGTAAAACTGCCGTTCCCTAGATCGATATACATGTTTTCCTAGTCGCTGACGGACGCCCGAAACGCTGATTGTCGCTGGTGGACGCCCACACAGTATGAACGCACCTTAGTAAAGCTTGAAATCTGATCCCGTCAGCTACGGCGACGTTATCAGTTGTGGAAATTGTATGCAAAGAAATGGAAACTTCTCATTCAGGCCTCAATCATTCGCTTTGTCGGCACTTTCTTAAACATGGGAAGTAATACAATTTTTCTTGCAAGCGTATTCGGAAGAAGAGTTGAAACATTACAAGTCATATCAAGAATAATGTTCTACATAGCAGAAGGCCTTATGTTCCTGGCTAATGAGAGAACATTCTAATTCATATCTCACCACAATTTTGGACAAATAAATAAATATGTTGATTTCGGCTG